GAACAGGACTACCAAAAAGTTAATATAAAGGCAGCAATTTGTTCATACTTATCAATAATTACTTTGAATATCAATGGATTGAATGCACCAGTGAAGAGCCAGAGAATGGCAGACTGGATAAGAAAACAAGACCCTTCAATGTGCTGCCTGCAAGAGTCACACCTTACACACAAAGACAAAAACAGACTAAAAGTTAAAGGATGGAAAAAAATATACCAAGCTAACTGCAACAATAAACAAGCAGGAGTGGCAATTCTAATCTCTGATAAAGTAAACTTTAAGACAAAAACCAGCATAAGAGATAAAGAAGGACATTATCTCATGATCAAAAGGTCAATTGAGCAAGACAAAATGTTAAAAAGCTACTAGACATCATTGGAAGATTCAATAAAGTGGCAGGGATTCAATATAAGATCAACATACAAAAATCAGTTGGATTCCTCTATAGTAACAATGACAGCGCTAAAAAGGACATTAGGAAAGCAATACCATTTACAAAAGCAGCCCAAAGGATGAAATATTTAGGAATAAACGTAACCAGAGAAATAAAGGACCTATACATAGAGAATTACAAAACACTACTACAAGAAACCAAAAGAGACTTACAAAAGTGGAAGAACATACCATGTTCCTGGATAGGAAGACTCAACATCATGAAAATGTAAATACTACCCAAAGCCATTTACACATATAATGCAATCCCAATCCAGATCCAGCGACACACTTCAAAGAGATGGAAAAGACAATTACAAACTTTATATGGAAAGGAAAGAGACCCAGGATAAGCAAAGCACTGCTCAAGAAGAACAAAGGTGGACGCCGCTCACCTCCTGATTTCAAAATCTACTACATGGCTACAATAGTCAAAACAGCCTGGTATTGGTACAATGAAAGATACATTGATCAATGGAACAGAATCAAGAATCCAGAAATTAACCCATTCACATACAGCCAATGGATTTTCGAAAAAGTGCTTAGGTATGTTACATGGGGAGGAGATAGTCTCTTTAAAAGATGATGCTGGTAGAACTGGAAAGCGATATGCAAAAGACTGAAACAAGACCTTTACCTCACACCCTATACAATAAAATGTGCAAAAATCTGGAATCAGAAAACCAAAAGGAAGAACATGCTCAGCATTTCTCAAGCCGGGGGAACTGAAGAAAAAATTCAAGCCTCGACTTTTGTTACTGGATTCTCTGGGCAAATTATTGAATGATGCAGAAAGCATCAAGACGGAAGAATACACAGTCACCGTACCAAAACGGAAATGATTACTGTTCAACCGTTTCAAGAGGCAGCATACGATCAAGAGCCAATGATACTTAGGGAGGAAGTCCAAGGTAATTGGCAAAGAACAAGGCACCAGGAATTGATGGAATAAACACTGAAATCTTTCAAGAAAGTAAGGTGGCACAGGAGGCACTCACTCATCTCTGCAAAGAAATTTGGAAGACAACTATCTGGCCGACTGATTAGAAGAGATCCATATTTGTGCCCATTCCAGAGAGGTGACCCAGCAGAATGCGGAAATCATTGGACATTCTCTTTGATATGTCATGAGAGTAAAGTTTTGCTGAAGGTAATACAGAAACGGCTACAATCATACATTGACAGAGAACTTCCAGAGTTTCAAGCCAGATTCAGAAGAGGCCGTGGAACGAGGGCTATCATTGCTGATGTCCGATGGATCTTGGCTAAAAGCAGAGAATATTAGAAAGATGTTTACCTATGCTTTATTGACTATGCAAAGGCTTTCGATTGTGTGGATCATGACAAGCTATGAACAACATTGCGAAGTTTGAGTATTCCAGAACACTTAATCGTGCTTATGAGGAATCTGTACCTGGACCAAGAGGCAGTTGTTCGAACAGAACATGGGAACACTGAATGGTTTAAAATTCAGAAAGGTGTGCGACAAGGTTGTATTCTTTCACCATACTTACTCAACCTGTACGCTGAGTAAATCATCCGAGAAGCTGGGTTCTATGAAGAAAAACGTGGCATCAGGATTGGGGGAAGACTCATCAACAACCTGCAATATCTAGATGATACAACCTTGCTTGCTGAAAGTGAAGAGGACTTAAAAAAATTTACTGATGAAGATCAAAGAGCCTTCAGTATGGATTGCATCTCAATGTAAAGAAAACAAAATCATAACCATTGTCCAATAAACAATGTTCTTATCAATGGAGATAAGATTGAAGTTGTCAAGGACTTCATTCTTCTTGGATCAGCTATCAATACTCAGGGAAGCAGCAGTCAAGAGCTCATATGCCATATTGCATTAGGCAAATCTGCTGCACAGGACCATTTTAATGTGTTGAAGAACAAACATGTCAGCTTGAGGACTAAGGTGCACCTGATCCAAGCCATGGTATTTTCAGTAACCTCATATGGATGTGAAAGCTGGACAGTGAATAAGGAAGACTGTAGAAGAATTGATGCTTTTGAGTTATGGTGTTGGAGGAGACTGTTGAAAGTGCCATGGGCTGCCAAAATAACCAACAAGATCCGTTTTGGAAGAAGTGCAGCCAGAGTGCTCCTTAGACACCAAGATGTCCAAACTTCGTCTCTCATACTTCAGACATATTGTCAGGAGGGGCCAGTAGCTAGAGACAGATATCATGTTTGGTAATATGGAGGGTCAGAGAAAAAGAGGAAGTCCCCCCAACAAGATGGATTGGCCAAGTGGCAGCATCGATGAACTCAAGCGTGGTAACAACAGTGAGGTTGGCCCAGGACCGGGTTGTGTTTCGTTCTGTTGTGCAGTTGGTACCAACTCGATGGCACCTAACAACAACATGCTGGTCTGGTGGCTCTGCAGATTCTGTAGGTCTGGAGTTAAGCCTACAGGAATAGAAGATCACAGTGACACACATCCAGCTCCTGCTTCACATTGTCTTGGCTCTTAACTCCCAAAGAGCAGGGTCTGACCTAGGGGTAGAATCACACCTTTCCTGTTGCCTGTGTGAATCTGGTCTACCAAGCCACCTTCTGTCACCAAAGCTGTTCACTAAAGTTCAAGACGGTTGGCAGCTCACCAGTCATCCCTGCTGTTTTTCCTTCCGTCACCCAGTCCACTTCCTCGGAAGGTCAAGGTTCCATGATTTTCATCTGTCTCCATTTGGTCACTTGTATCTATGTTGTAGAGGTTCTGTGTAATGTGTCGGCCTATACGCCATCTTTCTGGAAGTCCTGTCATAAATTTTAACTTCTATGCCTGTGGTTATATCCTATTTGGGAATGAGTTGTCTTTGTTGTGTTAATGAGGAAGGGTTAGTGTAAAGTTTAGCTTAAGTCAATCTCTTATAAAATATAAGAGAGAAGACAATGCAAGAGAGATAGGATGGGATAAAATAAATGTCAAGCCACATGGAAATCTCCAAGGAATGAGGAAGCAGAAGGTGAAGACACACGGAACTCCCTTCCTTCAGAGCCAACAGAGAGAGCCTTCACTAGAACAGGAGTGCTGAATTTGTACTTCTATTTTCCTAAACTGAGAAAAGAAATTTCTGTCTGTTAAAATCATCCACTTGTGCATTTTCTGTTATAGGAGCACTAGATAACAGAGATATCTTGTAAATTTACCTAGTAAGAAATTAAACATGGATTTTAAACTGTTTGAAGTCAAATTGTTTGTTTTAAAGTTCCTAGCACTTAACAACAGTAATCAGTTTACCAAGAAAATATCATCTGCAATGCTTTTACAGGTTAAGTGGTTGCTCCTTAGAATAAATATATTTTTATATTCATCAACTGAGGAAGCACTTTGTCCCCTATGAGTATTTTAATGCCCCTTATACAGATTCCCCTTCATCATGTTTTCTCTGATACTTTGACAGACTAACTAAATATTAAGAGATTTGTATGGTATCAAAGTTGAAGGCCAACTAGCAATGAACATTTCTTCATTTGTATAAAAATGTACTGATTTACAATATATTAAAGAAAACTGATTTTTATGTAGAGCTGATAAATTACTGTAATAATTTTCAATTTAGATTATAAACCCAGTAATAAAACCTGAACATTTGTATTTTCTTAAAAGATCTATTTCTAAGATAAAACTAAAGTGTGCTTCTTTAACAGATTAATTGCTGCAAGATCATCACTTTAGTTACATAAAAGCTAAATGGAAGTTTTAATGTTTCTTTTCTAGCTGTATCACAATGTAACTTATTCCCACTAGTAAAGCAACTCCAATTTCAAAAGGGGTTATTATCCACACTCCCTCTTTTAGTTTTACAATAAATTGCTATTAGGAAACAAGTGCAAACTGAAATGTTGCTATTCTATAAATTCATACTGCACATTAAAATTTTAGATAATCTTGAATCTATTACTTAGTTGCCATGTATAATCTTAATATTTAATAAAATTTATTAAGCAGTAGAATGTTTTCACTTAGAAAACACTGGTTACGTGGAGCAGCACTACACTTGGTACATGAACTGCTAAAATAAAATAGGTCAATCCATTCAAAAATCAGAAGACAGGAATTATTAATTGTAAACTTTATAAACATTTATTTTAGAAACACACAAAACTAAAATGAATATTTTGTCCAATAGCTTATGGACCAGAGAAATAGGAACTACATGTTTTTAGGTATATATCTGCATGAATATCCTTGCCATAATTCTAAGAGTTAAAACACTTAGACTCGAGGATATTATATTTTGATTTGAAAACTTAACAAAGTTAAATTTAAAAATTTGTATGTGTAACATAAATAATATCACTTTTATAACAGAAGAAATTAAAGACTAATGAAAGCAGAATATATCAAACAAAATCATTTCTTACTTTAAATCAAATTTTACACACTGCAAAAAAGTCCTATGTTTTGCAGAATTTCTTTTAAGTGTTTTTAGAATTTAGAAAGTCTTAAAAAAACTCAATAAATTAAAAAAATATTACTGTTTAAAATATGAAGCCTATAATAAATGGCACATCAATTGGACAGGTATAGAAAGTGGCCTCATTTTTGGGCTTTCTCATGAAAACTCTGTGACTGATCGACATATTATTTCTAAGGTCACCAATAAGGCCTCAGTGTGTACTCCAGGACAGGCTTTCAAATTCTCAGGCAGTTCCGTAAGAATATCTGGGAGCTTCTGTAATGTCTTTGTATTCTTAACATACAGATCCAATAGCCAGTCAGTCTGAGCACTGGTGGCTTCCTTATAATTCTTACAAGCCAAAAGAAGTTCATTCAGATGACTTAGCCCTTTGAAAGCTAAGAGGAACTCAGAAGACAAATCAAAAATTGAACAAAAATTCAACAGCATCCTACTAAGTAAAAATGAACCAAACTCAAGTTGCTGCTGGTGAAAATGTTTTTCTGCCTGGGTATGGAAGTTTTCCACCGTATCTTCTATTTTTGTAATTGAAAACAGTTCTTCCTTGATTTGAGGTGACAATACATAATCCAAGGGCAATTCTCCCTTAGAGTTTCTCTGCTGCAAAAGTACTGGGCCTATTAAAAAGGAAAATGCAAAATGTTAAGAATAAAGCATTTTTATTTCGGAAGTTAAAACAGCTGTCTATCAATCCTTCCACCACCCCCCACCCCCTAAAAGCATCGAAGGCTTTGTTTACAATCATGCTTTGTATTAATTCATGTTGACACAATTAACTGGTTATACATATTTACTGTAAATTAAAATAAAACCAAATTTTAGTCAATGGCCTAATGACATTTGCCTAAAAGCACTTAAGTTGAGTAAGTAATACATGTGATGTGTGGGGGCTTCAAAACGTTTCTGAAAAACAGAATAGAAAGATAATAGAATTTTTCCACAGATTTTTTAAAGCCCCCTTGTGGTGTAATGAATTGTTTAATATTAGTTTCTAGCCGCACTCTGTAACTCCCACCAAACAATTTTCCTACCCTGCTTAGTCTGGGTAAGAGAATGGGAGAAGATACTGATTAGATGAAATGATTCAGCTGTGGATACTACACGAGCTAATACTACATGTAAAAATATTACATGTTAAAACTTGAAACTCTAGAATGGGTTTAAAATTAGCCATCTCAGAAGGAGGGGGTATCTTACGACCAAGAAAGACAAAAAGCCAGGAAGGGAATGTGTTCTTTGGACTCAGACAGCCCTGCATATTGAACTTCCTTGACCCAGGCAGGGACAGAAAGCTGTGACATGCAGCAGAAAGGAGAACCAAGAACCACAGCAGTGGACTTCCTAGCCCATGGAGCAAGTAAAGCCGAATGACTTATGGTAGGAAACTTGCTTGCAGAGTGGGGTATCTCCAAGCACTTAAATTGAGGAGCTAAGTTTGCTGACCCACAGAGCTAAGAGCCAAGTTCTCTCCGGCTGAGGATTATGATGGAGTGGTGTGTCCTGTGGGCATTTTATCAGCAGTTGACTGGGACAACTTTGCCTTGAGTATCTTCTGATCCTGTATTATATAACCTGTTAACTTCTCTAATAGACCCCATAGCTGTGAATATTGTCTTTGAGCTCTAAGTACACACAGCAATGCATTACTGAACCCAGTGGAGTAGAGAGTATGGTGAGAGGAATGGTTAGTACTTAAATTTTTTTGTACCCCTCATATAAATGAAAAAATATATAAATAAAGCTTTATAAACTGTCAATTTAAAATAAGTTTTAGTGTTCTCAGGAGAAGTGAACTACATATTGTTGTTAAGTGCCGTAGAGTTGGTTTCGACTCATAGCGATCCTATAAAGGGTTTCCAAGGAGCGGCTGGTGAGTTTGAACTGCAAACCTGTGGTTCAAACCGACCTTAAGGTTGATGTTCATCCTACATTCATTATAAATTCTATGCAAAGTCTTAAGGACATCTCATGAGATCACTAAGAGGAAATATAGTGACCACTTCCATGGGTGATACATGATTCTGGCAGTACCAAGACTGCAAAACATCGCAGAGATCAGAAAGTATTTTTCATTTGACCCCTGCTTATGTTAAACTTTGGAGACCTGATGTGGTGCCATAGAGTACTGCTCTAGACTACAAAGTCAATTTTCAAGAACCACAAGGTCAGTGGTTCAAGTTCACCAGCTGCTCCTCAGAAACCCTATATAGGGTTGCTGTGAGTTGGAATCAACTTGATGACATTTAACAATAACAACGTTAAACTTTACTACAGGTAACTGATTCACAAAAAATTAAATGTCAACTGTTCTAGATCATATCCATCCATCTAATAAACAAAACATATCTAACCACCTACCTAGAAAGTACTGGCGACAGAGTTTATCCCTTAGGTAGGAAAGGATGATGAAAGAGGGGTGAAACAACAATGACTAAGTATTTAGTCCCAAGAAGTACTTTTTACCTTTGTCAGCGAAACCATACAATTATTTATTCACATTGTCATAAATATGCAAGAAGGGGTATAGTAGAACTAGCAGACATAATCAAAGGGTCCTAACATATAAAGCAGATCATAGCTGATAAACTGTCAAGCATATTTAGTAGTCAGGCTATAATATACTTAATATAAAAGATCAACTAATGATGATTTGGAGTCCTGGTGTGGTGCTGTGGGTTAATGCGCTGGACGGCAAGGTTGGTTTGAACTGCAAGTTTGGCAGTTCAAGCTTACCCGTTACTCTTTGGAAACCCGGTTCCGACTCATAGCGACCCCGCACAGGGTTTCCGAGGCTGCAAATCTTTACAGGAGCAGAAAGCCTCGTCTTTCTCCTGTGGAACAGCTAGTAGTTTCGAATTGCGGACCTTGAGATTAGCAGCACAATTTGTAACCACTACACTACCAGAGCTCCTTTGGAACCGACTTGACGGTACTTAACAACAACAACAACAACGCTACCAGAGCTCCTTCTGGAAACCCTACAGAGGGTCAATATGAGTCTAATCAACTTGACGGTACTTAACAACAACAACAACAACGCTACCAGAGCTCCTTCTGGAAACCCTACAGAGGGTCAATATGAGTCTAATCAACTTGACGGTACTTAACAACAACAACAACAACGCTACCAGAGCTCCTTCTGGAAACCCTACAGAGGGTCAATATGAGTCTAATCAACTTGACGGTACTTAACAACAACAACAACAACGCTACCAGAGCTCCTTCTGGAAACCCTACAGAGGGTCAATATGAGTCTAATCAACTTGACGGTACTTAACAACAACAACAACAACGCTACCAGAGCTCCTTCTGGAAACCCTACAGAGGGTCAATATGAGTCTAATCAACTTGACGGTACTTAACAACAACAACAACAACGCTACCAGAGCTCCTTCTGGAAACCCTACAGAGGGTCAATATGAGTCTAATCAACTTGACGGTACTTAACAACAACAACAACAACGCTACCAGAGCTCCTTCTGGAAACCCTACAGAGGGTCAATATGAGTCTAATCAACTTGACGGTACTTAACAACAACAACAACAACGCTACCAGAGCTCCTTCTGGAAACCCTACAGAGGGTCAATATGAGTCTAATCAACTTGACGGTACTTAACAACAACAACAACAACGCTACCAGAGCTCCTTCTGGAAACCCTACAGAGGGTCAATATGAGTCTAATCAACTTGACGGTACTTAACAACAACAACAACAACGCTACCAGAGCTCCTTCTGGAAACCCTACAGAGGGTCAATATGAGTCTAATCAACTTGACGGTACTTAACAACAACAACAACAACGCTACCAGAGCTCCTTCTGGAAACCCTACAGAGGGTCAATATGAGTCTAATCAACTTGACGGTACTTAACAACAACAACAACAACGCTACCAGAGCTCCTTCTGGAAACCCTACAGAGGGTCAATATGAGTCTAATCAACTTGACGGTACTTAACAACAACAACAACAACGCTACCAGAGCTCCTTCTGGAAACCCTACAGAGGGTCAATATGAGTCTAATCAACTTGACGGTACTTAACAACAACAACAACAACGCTACCAGAGCTCCTTCTGGAAACCCTACAGAGGGTCAATATGAGTCTAATCAACTTGACGGTACTTAACAACAACAACAACAACGCTACCAGAGCTCCTTCTGGAAACCCTACAGAGGGTCAATATGAGTCTAATCAACTTGACGGTACTTAACAACAACAACAACAACGCTACCAGAGCTCCTTCTGGAAACCCTACAGAGGGTCAATATGAGTCTAATCAACTTGACGGTACTTAACAACAACAACAACAACGCTACCAGAGCTCCTTCTGGAAACCCTACAGAGGGTCAATATGAGTCTAATCAACTTGACGGTACTTAACAACAACAACAACAACGCTACCAGAGCTCCTTCTGGAAACCCTACAGAGGGTCAATATGAGTCTAATCAACTTGACGGTACTTAACAACAACAACAACAACGCTACCAGAGCTCCTTCTGGAAACCCTACAGAGGGTCAATATGAGTCTAATCAACTTGACGGTACTTAACAACAACAACAACAACGCTACCAGAGCTCCTTCTGGAAACCCTACAGAGGGTCAATATGAGTCTAATCAACTTGACGGTACTTAACAACAACAACAACAACGCTACCAGAGCTCCTTCTGGAAACCCTACAGAGGGTCAATATGAGTCTAATCAACTTGACGGTACTTAACAACAACAACAACAACGCTACCAGAGCTCCTTCTGGAAACCCTACAGAGGGTCAATATGAGTCTAATCAACTTGACGGTACTTAACAACAACAACAACAACGCTACCAGAGCTCCTTCTGGAAACCCTACAGAGGGTCAATATGAGTCTAATCAACTTGACGGTACTTAACAACAACAACAACAACGCTACCAGAGCTCCTTCTGGAAACCCTACAGAGGGTCAATATGAGTCTAATCAACTTGACGGTACTTAACAACAACAACAACAACGCTACCAGAGCTCCTTCTGGAAACCCTACAGAGGGTCAATATGAGTCTAATCAACTTGACGGTACTTAACAACAACAACAACAACGCTACCAGAGCTCCTTCTGGAAACCCTACAGAGGGTCAATATGAGTCTAATCAACTTGACGGTACTTAACAACAACAACAACAACGCTACCAGAGCTCCTTCTGGAAACCCTACAGAGGGTCAATATGAGTCTAATCAACTTGACGGTACTTAACAACAACAACAACAACGCTACCAGAGCTCCTTCTGGAAACCCTACAGAGGGTCAATATGAGTCTAATCAACTTGACGGTACTTAACAACAACAACAACAACGCTACCAGAGCTCCTTCTGGAAACCCTACAGAGGGTCAATATGAGTCTAATCAACTTGACGGTACTTAACAACAACAACAACAACGCTACCAGAGCTCCTTCTGGAAACCCTACAGAGGGTCAATATGAGTCTAATCAACTTGACGGTACTTAACAACAACAACAACAACGCTACCAGAGCTCCTTCTGGAAACCCTACAGAGGGTCAATATGAGTCTAATCAACTTGACGGTACTTAACAACAACAACAACAACGCTACCAGAGCTCCTTCTGGAAACCCTAC